AAAAATAGTTATTGGGTGTTTTATTAACAATTGCACAGTTTGCAACATTCAGATTTTTACTCCCTATGTCGGGCAAGGGCGTAAATTTTCGTGCTTCGGAGATTTGCAGTTGCTTGAAAACTAACCATCAGAATTCCATTTATATAGGCTCACTGACCTTATATTGAGTTACTCTATCCACCATAGGGAGTTTAGTTCGAATTTCTAATTTTAGGGCCCCTTGCCCGATAAAGGGTTAAGATTTGTGGGATTTGGTACACAGCGGACAGGCAGGACAGTAGAAAGATTAATTCAGAGGCAGTGGGTAGGCTACGTGGCCTTCGGGCCAGAGATGTTACGTTGCACCAAAGGGCTGTGATTGTGAATTCGTTGGTATACAGTAAGGTTTGGGGAGCTGTGGCAGTATATCCTTTGAGAAATTGTGATGTAACAGACATCCAGAAGAGGGCATTAAGGTATATATGGGGTTATGGGAGGGCGTGGTTGGGATATGACGTAGTAATGACTGGGGTGCGTCAGGGGGGATTGGGTTTGTTGGCATTGGGGCCCAGGGTGAGGGCAATATACGTCAAGGTGAGATACCTCAGTAAGGGGGGTCAGGGGGCGGCGTGTGGGGGAAGTGATGAGGGACTTTCGTTGTTGGTGGAGTGGGAGGGACCTGGAGGTGTGTGAGGATATGTTGAGGTATATGTTAAGAGTTCGAGATGTGCGTCATTTGCGAATAGGGAGACTGGTGGGAGTCGAGTATCGTCGGGAGACGCTGCAAGGGGTGGCTGTCTTCCCCACATATGATTGGAGGGTAATATGGGAGGAATTTCGAAAGCTAAGAATGCCTGCAAGGGTGAGAGAAGTGGTCTACAGATTCCTCATGGGGACATTGGCGTCAAAAGAGGTGTTGAAGCAGATGGGATATGTGAGAGATGCTTCATGTGCACATTGTGGTGACGTGGAAAATGCTTTCCATGTGGTGTATTTTTGTCCTTTTTTGGAAATGTAAGGGTGTGGTTGAGGGGTGTTTTTGGATTATTGGGGGGGGAGGGGGGGTTCTTAGGGCTTTACTTTTAGACGTGGGAGGAGTGTCTAATGAGGTAGCAAGGGCGTTAAGGTATATAATGGTTGATTTTTTGTATGTTTCTTGGGGAATGAGGGAGGTTGGGGGTAATGTCAGGATCAAGGCCTTAGTGGCGAGTTTTTATAGGTCGGTGGGTAGGAATAGGAGCTTATATGGGGGTCAGTGGGTTACTCTTTTCCCGGAGAGATATTGGGGACTGACTGTGTCACGACTGCTACAGTTGGTGCCGGGAAAGGACAGCAAGGGGTAGGTTTCCGGAGGCGAGTGATGAGTACTTGGAGATGATTGCAGTAAGGGAGGTGATGGTGGCTGCTCCAGTGGTGTATGTGAGATAACATGATGTAAGGCCTGTGTGAGGGCCTTTGTGTGTGTGTGTTTTGTTGCGTGTGTGGCGAGTGTCTGTGTGCATGTCTGTTCGTGAGTCTGTGTGTGTGGGTGGGGTGTTCTGTTATTGAACTGGGGCTTCTGTGAGAGAGGTGGAGGTTTTTTTTGGTAAGATTTTCTTGCTTCTGTGGGTTCGCCAAGGCGTCCTTTCGATACTTTTCAAAGAAGGACCAAACTGAAAATATTTAGGAAATAATGAGCTAGGAATTATTTGTGTTGTAAAAGATGCAGGGTTTTTGTTTTTGTTGCCCCAGAGACTAATGTTTTGATTCTTATTCTATTTAACAACTGTAGTACGGGCGAGGTACCTGCGTGTACCAGGCTCATGTATTTCCTGTATTATGTCAACTTTGTTAATGTTAGATGTTCTGTGTACGAGAGGGGGCATTGTACATTGCCCTATTCAGTATTCCTTCCTGTTTGGAAGTTAATGAGGTAGGAACGTATATACACACGGATTAAGGGTGTATTTCACCTGTTCATACTGTGTACCTCGAGGGTGATGGGAGGAGGCACACATCTTAGAAATTTTTTTCTTATAATTTATCATTTATTCTAGAGTATGCAAAGTTCCATATGATGTGTATTTGGGTTATATGGGGTGTGGGGAGTACCATTTAGTCTCCTCGAAAACATTGTCAGGGGGTTTAAGTTTTCGAGAATCTATGTACGTAACATGTTACTATACAAAACAATTGTATGAGAAATGATTTGGTGTATAATTAATATTTTGTATATGAAGTTTTCATACAAAATATGCATAAGTGTAACAGGTTTTGTTTTGTAGCTTTTGTTAAGGAATCCTCATGTGTAGGTTCTTCTGTTACATTCCTAGTTAGGCTTGTTTTTTCTCAGAGTTGAGCTTTTTTTGTTAAGTTTTATGTATAACAACATGTAGATTGTATACTGTGTCCTTAAATAAAAATATAAAAAAAAAATTACAAAGTCACAGTAACAGAAAGGAGAGAAGGAGGCAGTATATATAGGCCAGCAGACAGGAATGGGACAAAAGAGGGAAGGAAGCAGAGAGGTAGTGGTAGAAGTAGCAGCAGTAGTAGGGTCTGGGTTCGATTCCCGGCGAAGGGGCGGAAACATTGGATGTATTTCATTACACCTGTTGTTCAAGTTCACCCATCAGATGCGACCCACACCAGCGGACTGGTGTGGGTCGCATCCTGGGACGAAACTGACTTAATATGCGGGAAATGCTCTGAATAATAAGGGGCTTTCTATATAGTAATATGTCATTGATGTCAAGTATGGTCTGTATACTTTGTACATGTGTTTGTAGTAAATTATTATTATTATTATTATTATTATTATTATTATTATTATTATTATTATTATTATATTGGAGTCAGTGAAAGACCAAGAAATGGAAGCACTGCAGGAGAACTTGGGGTCCAAGTCGGACCGAAACATCGTCGTAAGCTCCTGTTTCCTACGTGCGGGTTATTTGTGTACTGTTCCAGTCACGGTATTGTGCCTTTTTGTTATTTACCTGGAAAACAAGTCTTAGTGTCATGGATAACATTCTAACTCATCCCTTAGATGAGGTTGAGCTTCCTTATTCACGAAAGATATTTTTTTTTTTTAAATTGCCTAAGCATAAATATTAAAAGGTTAATCAAGTTTCAAAGTGTTGACTCAAGAAATCATAATGACATGACTAGGTTTTGACGGCTTTGAGGGGACTTGAGCTAGAGTTCGTCACGGCCACGCTAGCTGAAGATTCGTCTGTATAAAGTTTCATTTGTGGCCACAGTGGTGCCTGTGCTAACCTTTCCATGGTGTATAAATATACCTAGATCCGTGATTTTTATTGTAGCTAGCTGGCCCAGTGGCTAACGTGTCGGTCTGGAATTTCAAGAGACTGATCACGGGTTCTAACTCGTGATCAGTGTTCTACAAAAAATTGTTCTACAGAAAATTGTTCTACAGAAAATTGTTCTACAGAAAATTGTTCTACAGAAAATTGTTCTACAGAAAATTGTCCACATAATATTGTTTTATTAAAAATTATTAATATAAAGATGAGTTGGACAAATGAAAGTCAACTGCTGCTTTAAGTGGTAACAGAGAACTTATTGTTCCAAACAATACCGACGTAAATCTCCGAGTTCTCAACTCTTCCTCAGGTGTTTTTTAAGGGGGATTTTTAAGGTTGAAGCATGACGAAATTTCTCTTAAGAATTCAACATGACTCGGATGAATGCCTTGTTAATATCAGCGCAATAAGCATATTTACCTCTGCGAAATCGCAACGTGGCTACCTAATTTCTGGGTTTTTGAGGAGAACCTGTTAATAAACAGTCATTATGTGAATGCGCTCACACTATTAGCTTTGATACTACAGTTAAATGCAAAATAAACAAGGATCTACTTCCTGCTATATGAGACACATTTTTCGGTCAAGCTAACTTTTAAAGAATTCCATTGGTCAGCTTTAATCTGCAGTTTTTGGACAGCTCAGGACAGTCTGCCTTCCAAGCCAAAATAGCCTAACACTGGCCTCTATGGTTTTCCACTTTGTCTAAGGAATCTCTCCAACTATCCGTCTCCTCACGAGTAATTCCTTTCGTGTCAATACCCCTAGTGTTAAGTTCCCATTAGGAATTATTACTATATCTAGTGACAAGGTGTATATCATTCGTACAAGATATCTTTCCGGTATTATATACCACTAACAAACAACTTGTTAGACAAAGCAATCTTGGAATCTTGGTACAGAAGACATCTGCACAGTTCTTACTGCCTTTTGCCCATTTCTTGGGCACCTGCTGCACCTCATCTGACTCCAGTATTTAAATGATAATCTTCCTGCCTGTGCTTCAGATCCTAAGCGGCGGGACTGATTACCTCGTCTTCTACAGCCTTCTGTATATAGTTCTGCAGTCTTCAGATCACGTCCATGTATTGATAAAGCTACTGGATAGCAAAACGTATGAAAAATAGATACCAAGATATTGCAAGAGTCTCATTTGTCATCTTTATTACCACTAACACCACCTGAGGGGAGCCATCTTCACTACGTATAAAACAGTATTAATACCAACTTGTCAATAAATATAAAAGAACACCACCTGAGGGGAGCCATCTTCACTACGTATAAAACAGTATTAATACCAACTTGTCAATAAATATAAAAGAACACCACCTGAGGGGAGCCATCTTCACTACGTATAAAACAGTATTAATACCAACTTGTCAATAAATATAAAAGAACACCACCTGAGGGGAGCCATCTTCACTACGTATAAAACAGTATTAATACCAACTTGTCAATAAATATAAAGTCTCAGAGTAATTCCGAGGAATCATTACGAAGGATAATAATGTTGGCAGCCTCGCTGTAAACAGTACTGTACTTGACTGGATCACCATCTGGAGGAGACCCGGACCAACACATATATCGGCGAATCATTAAAGTTACTGTATTAAGATTTGTGTTACTTCCAGTAGTATTTATTCCCCCGCACTGCGACACTTTCTCAATGAGAAATTTCGAGCCTTGGGTACAAAATATTGGGTAAATAATTATCTATGATTATTTTGTTTTATTATTAGAACTTCAGAGTAATACAAAATATTTCTGGAGAAGTTCATTTTAGAGAAAATTCAAAATATTCTCATATTACAATCCTGATATTAAATGATGAGAAATGAATATTGTAGCTACCATTTCGATAGAGGACAACCCACAAGGAAGGTTCCTTGATGTTGGTGAGGGGCTCTTGATTTAGGGAATTGGATCTGTGTTCCAGTTCCCCGAGTTAAGCCTGAATGCCTTCCACATCCCCCCCCCAGGCGCTGTATAATCCTCCGGGTTTAGCGCTTCCCCTTGATTATAATAATAATAATAATCGATAGAGGACATTCATGGAACAATCCCCGTGTTAGTTATTCTTATATACACTTTAACATATAGAAAAATCTACCTACTGTTAGATTCAAGTTGCCTAATTCAATCATTTTGAGCAAATTTTTCACTCAGGCTAATGATTTTGAAGTAAATATGTGTGTCTGTGTGTACTCACCTATTTCTACTTATCTGTTTATAGTTGCAGGGGTCGAGTCGCAGCTCCTGACCCCACCTCTTCGCTGGTTGTTACTAAGTTCACCCTTTCCTTGCTCCAAGACTTTTATCGTACTTTATATGTAAGCAAGCAAAGCAAACAAGTTCAGGTAAGATCCCAATGGGATGAGCGGGGAAGATGGGACAGATGAAGAATAGCTCTGGAGAGAAGTGTTCTTAGTCAGAGAAACAGAGCCAGGACTTAACCCAGCAGCTAAGGTGATCGTGGTGCAGACTTGAGAACAGGAATAGCAGGGACTGTTGCATTGAACTTGTGGTAGTTGAAGTCTTGAATCTTGAGTAGCTGGCAGCAGGCTAGGTCACATCAGAGGATAGAACACATATGGGAGTTATAGGAGTAACTGAGGAGGCAGGTTAGCAATGGAGCCATTTTCGAACTTTTTGAAGCTGCTTCTAGATAGGTGGTATAGTTTAGCCTTGTTACTGAAGGTGAAACGTAGAGGCTTGATGAACTCAAGAACTTGGGTGAGTGTGAAGTGAAGCGGTGATTCACAGGCATACTCGACTGTTCCAGCACCGAGGCTTTTGTAGAGTTCAGTACAGGACATGGTGTCAGCATTTGAAGAAGTGTAAAAGGTAAGGTTTTCCCATGAGGGTTTACTGGAGTCGTCGTTATCTTCCTCTTCTGGAGTGGATTCATTGGGAGAATCTACAATGGTGGTAGCAGGTGACTGAGGTTCGACAGGAGCAGCTGTGAGGTGTAATGGTTGTGTAACAGCAGGCTGGGAGAGGTGGGAGACGGTGGCTGAGGCAACTTGATCAACGTTGTCAGCGGTGGAAGTGGTTATAGAAGTTACAGGAGCAGTTGCTTGGGCAGGAGACAGGTCTGCAGGAGCAGTAAAGTTCATGACGTTGGGAAGGATCTTGAGGATGTCTTCTGAAGGTGTGGAGTCCGGAAAATTGAAGGCAGGCATGTTGTTCAGACGGAATAGTTCGTTAACAGTGGTGTTGAAAGTCCCGGGGTTTGCTGAGTTTGCAAGGTGTGCATACACCATGCAGTACAGCACCTTTGAGGGAGCACCGTCGGGGAGTGGAGAGAGGGAGTTGCTGGGCGATGGTGCCTGTAGATTAGCGTGTAGAGTCTTGGTGGTGTCGGTTTGTGGTTTAGTTATTGCAGAGTATGTGGGTGAATTGGAGGTGTTCTTCAGAACTTTAGTTTTCTTCAATATGATTTCTTTCCTGAGTGGGCACTTAGCTGCAAGGGTATGATGATTACCCTTGCAGTTAAGACATGTTGGTGTTGTAGTAATGGTGCAGGATCTGAAATCGTGTCCATCATTCCCACATTTTGAACAAAACTTCATATCCTTGACGGGGCAGTCCTTGGTGGTGTGTTTATAGGAGTAGCAGGTCCAGCAGTGGGAGATGTATGTGAAACGTTCTTGTTCTATATGACTTGGGTGAATGTGGTAATATGAGATGACCAGACCGTCAGAGAGAGCTTGGGCAGCCATGGAGATATCTGAGAATGTAATCTTTAGCATAGATGAGGCGTTGGGGATCTTGGAGATGCTGTCTACCGAGGCCCAGGTGTTTTGTTCCTCAATAGATGTCTTCAGTGCTTCAGTAGAGAGAGAGGTGACGATATTGTCCAGTCTTTTCACAAAGACAGAACGTTTCGACTTCAAGAATGGAGACGGGGATAGAGTGAATTGTTGCGTTTGTAGGGTCCTGATTGAAGAGTCGTCCATTAGTTTTAGTGCTTCCGTGTCGTCTGTGCAGACGACAATGAAGGAGTCTTTCAGAGAGTGGATTGCCGTAAATTTGACCTGCAGGCAGGTCCTAACGACGGTAGCTAAAGCTAACTTCGAGGAGTCATTTATTGCACCATTCACAGGCTTGATTTTCACACGATTCGACAGCATTGTGAAAAGGATGTGACGTTTGTAGAATATAAATTCTACACTCCGGCGGGGTCGAAGAGAGGCTTCTTGTGGTGGAGAGCAACTGTGTGAACGGACTGAGTATGTCTGTGTACTCGCCTATTTGTACTCACCTATTTATGGTAGCAGGGGTTGAGACTCAGCTCCTGGTCCCCGCCTCTTCACACAGTGTGTGTTTCTTTTTCATAAACTGTACCATTTTACGAAGCTGCAAGACTTGGAAATTATTTATACGAATTGAGAATTTTAAATTCTAAATGACCCACGAGGATTTACTCTTTTTGTAAATATATTCGTAATAATTCTAGGACCCCTAAAGTATAATTGTGTGAGTTTCAAAATATAATTCAAATCAATATAGAATGTAATATTTTACGTTAATTCCAAAATTTATGAAAATTACATATTAATGCCAGTAATGAACCAGACATAACTGATAATGAATTTTCAATATACTTAAATATGGAATGATAAATTTACAATGTGAGAGTAACAAATTGTGTGAAAATTCCGGTGAACAACCCTGCAGACTCACACGCGAGTCCATATATGTACTCTGTATAGCCATGTACTTCAGAGCTTACATAAAAATATTAAGATATATAAAATCTTCCATCAAAAGACTGTGGTGATTTAGAAAGCTCAAGTCAAGACGTTTTTGTTATGTGTTAGTAGTTGTGTTGATCATCGCTGCTGTGGCTGCTAGACAAGTGATGTTTTACACAGGCAAATGGAACAAGACGTAATTTGCTTCGGTTGTAATGCAGGAGCAGCAGCAGCAGGAGCTAGGAAGGAATGGGGGAGTCCACGTAGAAGGGAGCTTTGTCAGCTACTACCACCATACAAGCTCCATTACGACCTTCCTCTAGCAGCTTCACTAGTGCCTCTGCTACCGTCTCCGCTCTGTAGGATAACAGTGATTTGCATTAATAATAAGCCGAAGTTTGAATGTACTGTAAGACATAGTCTATATGACACATAAAGGTATGAACAAATGTGGAAATCTCTCCGCCATATAGGCAGATAGGTAGATAGATTTTTTTAGTCAGGTACTCAGGAATCTCAAACTTCATGTAAGGTGACCCACTGGGGGTTAAATAAGGGTAGTAAATCGACAAAACTTTCTATATTTTCCGTCAGTTATGTTTCCTTGTCAACATCTTTCAAAGGAGGTATTTTCAGGCAAAGCCTGAAAATACCTCCTTTTTTTTAGGCCTGGATGTTTGGAAGATCAAAATTACAAAAAAAAAAAAAAAAAAAAAAAAAAAAAAAAAAAAAAAAAAAAAAAAAAAAAAAAAAAAAAAAAAAAGGAATGTTTGATGCCAGTGGATTTTTTTTTTTTTTTGAGGAAATGGGAGAATTACAACTCAAACACATTTAAGACGAACTAAGACATCAAAGCCTCAATAAAACAAATTAAAAATATTTAAGAAGCTGTCACATTATTTGTTCACTGAAAATTTATTTCAAAATATAAACAACATATTAATACAGGTGAAGAACGAATTTTACCTTTAAAAAAAGAAATACATAATACTGAAAAAAACAGTATTTAAGAAAGAGAAATATTTGGAACACTCACGACATATCTTTGAGAGAATCAGCAAACTTGGTCAAGGCTTGACCGACCTCGGGGGTGAAGGCAGTCTTGAGTGAGTTGACTAGAAGGTCGGTTTTCACCAGGCTGGGACACAGACTTTGAACCTTCACACCACTAATCTTATGATGGAACTCGGACTGTCAATAAAAATACGTAAAGTTACTGACACATGATAATTGTATTCTTTCACGATGACGTATCCCACACACATGCAAATATGACCTACGAAGCCAAAAAGAAGTTAAAATACATACATATACAGACAATACATATCTACACGCACACAATATATATTATATATATATATATATATATATATATATATATATATATATATATATATTATATAAACATATTTTTTTTTATCATCACACTGGCCGATTCCCACCAAGGCAGGGTGGCCCGAAAAAGAAAAACTTTCACCATCATTCACTCCATCGCTGTCTTGCCAGAAGGGTGCTTTACACTACAGTTTTTAAACTGCAACATTAACACCCCTCCTTCAGAGTGCAGACACTGTACTTCCCATCTCCAGGACTCAAGTCCGGCCTGCCGGTTTCCCTGAACCCCTTCATAAATGTTACTTTGCTCACACTCCAACAGCAATTCAAGTATTAAAAACCATTCGTCTCCATTCACTCCTATCAAACACGCTCACGCACGCCTGCTGGAAGTCCAAGCCCCTCGCACACAAAACCTCCTTTACCCCCTCCCTCCAACCTTTCCTAGGGCGACCCCTACCCCGCCTTCCTTCTACTACAGACTGATACACTCTTGAAGTCATTCTGTTTCGCTCCATTCTCTCTACATGTCCGAACCACCTCAACAACCCTTCCTCAGCCCTCTGGACAACAGTTTTGGTAATTCCGCACCTCCTCCTAACTTCCAAACTACGAATTCTCTGCATTATATTCACACCACACATTGCCCTCAGACATGACATCTCCACTGCCTCCAGCCTTCTCCTCGCTGCAACATTCATCACCCATGCTTCACACCCATATAAGAGTGTTGGTAAAACTATACTCTCATACATTCCCCTCTTTGCCTCCAAGGACAAAGTTCTTTGTCTCCACAGACTCCTAAGTGCACCACTCACCCTTTTCCCCTCATCAATTCTATGATTCACCTCATCCTTCATAGACCCATCTGCTGACACGTCCACTCCCAAATATCTGAATACATTCACCTTCTCCATACTCTCTCCCTCCAATCTGATATCCAATCTTTCATCACCTAATCTTTTTATCCTCATAACCTTACTCTTTCCTGTATTCACTTTTAATTTTCTTCTTTTGCACACCCTACCAAATTCATCCACCAATCTCTGCAACTTCTCTTCAGAATCTCCCAAGAGCACAGTGTCATCAGCAAAGAGCAACTGTGACAACTCCCACTTTGTGTGTGATTCCTTATCTTTTAACTCCACGCCTCTTGTCAAGACCCTCGCATTTACTTCTCTTACAACCCCATCTATAAATATATTAAACAACCACGGTGACATCACACATCCCTGTCTAAGGCCTACTTTTACTGGGAAATAATTTCCCTCTTTCCTATGTACTCTAACTTGAGCCTCACTATCCTCGTAAAAACTCTTCACTGCTTTCAGTAACCTACCTCCTACACCATACACCTGCAACATCTGCCACATTGCCCCCCTATCCACCCTGTCATACGCCTTTTCCAAATCCATAAATGCCACAAAGACCTCTTTAGCCTTATCTAAAAACTGTTCACTTATATGTTTCACTGTAAACACCTGGTCCACAAACCCCCTACCTTTCCTAAAGCCTCCTTGTTCATCTGCTATCCTATTCTCCGTCTTACTTTTAATTCTTTCAATAATAACTCTACCATACACTTTACCAGGTATACTCAACAGACTTATCCCCCTATAATTTTTGCACTCTCTTTTGTCCCCTTTGCCTTTATACAAAGGAACTATGCATGCTCTCTGCCAATCCCTAGGTACCTTACTCTCTTCCATACATTTATTAAATAATTGCACCAACCACTCCAAAACTTTATCCCCACCTGCTTTTAACATTTCTATCTTTATCCCATCAATCCCGGCTGCCTTACCCCCTTTCATTTTACCTACTGCCTCACGAACTTCCCCCACACTCACAACTGGTTCTTCCTCACTCCTACAAGATGTTATTCCTCCTTGCCCTATACACGAAATCACAGCTTCCCTATCTTCATCAACATTTAACAATTCCTCAAAATATTCCCTCCATCTTCCCAATACCTCTAACTCTCCATTTAATAACTCTCCTCTCCTATTTTTAACTGACAAATCCATTTGTTCTCTAGGCTTCCTTAACTTGTTAATCACACTCCAAATCTTTTTCTTATTTTCAACAAAATTTGTTGATAACATCTCACCCACTCTCTCATTTGCTCTCTTTTTACATTGCTTCACCACTCTCTTAACCTCTCTCTTTTTCTCCATATACTCTTCCCTCCTTGCATCACTTCTATTTTGTAAAAACTTCTCATATGCTAACTTTTTCTCCCTTACTACTCTCTTTACATCATCATTCCACCGCACATTCGAATCTGCATAATAGTCTACATCAAAGTATGCATTACTTTAGCCACTCAGTCAGATCCCAGATAAGGTGCCTAGCTGAAGCTAGGCGGTCATCTCATACCACGGGACACCAAGCTAGTGATAAGATATTTCATCAAATTCTGCCACATGTAATAAACTTTGAAAGAGCTTTTTAAAAGCTTAACAATTCGCAAATGGGTGAAATTATTTGTAAACATTATCTGTCAGTCCACAGCAGGATTCGAACCTGAACATTTTGCATCAGTGTACGCAGTACTTAAGCACTGAAGCAATGTTATATAAATTTAAACTGACCTATGCTTTATTATTATAATCAAAAAGAAGCGCTAAATCACAAGGGCTATACAGTGCTGCAGGGCAGGAAGGAAGCGAGGGTATCAGGTGGTAAAAGGGAGATGGATGAGTAATAGGTTACGGAGAACAGCAGCGCAGTGGATGGTGAAAAGGTAGAGGGCAGCAAGAGACTGAGGTAGAAAGGGCTGAGGGGAGTGCAAAAGGTATCATCATCAGAGTTTGTGGAGCAAATCAGTCGTTGTCAAGAAGTCAATGAGAGAGTCAGGATTAAAGGAGGGTCCATCAACAAGAAGGGAAGATAAAGAGAGAGTAGTAGAGCAGAGACGATGCTGAAGGTAAATTCTGCGTGCTCGTTGATAGAGAGGGCAGTCTAACAGAATGTGGCTAATCCAAACTGGAACGTGACACTTCTCACAGAGAGGAACAGGGTGCCTCTCCATGAGATACCCATGAGTAAGACAAGTGAGGCCAATGCGAAGACAGTAGAGGTAGTCTCCCAACCTCGGCACTGATGACAAGAAAACGGCCAGCAACCCATACTCGGTTTAATAGAATGAAGTTTGTTACCGAGCAGAGTTGACCAATGGGTGTGAAGGTGTTCCGGAAATGGAACACCTCTATATGAAATTGGTAGGTCATGTACTGCTGAACACGAAGCAGTGTCTGCCAGTTCATTGCCCTGTACATCAACATGACCAGGGACCCAACAAAAAGCAATATCTTTATGCTTGGTAGAGATACGGCATAGCCAAAGTTGGATACAGAGAACTGGGGGTGAGGTGTATCAAATTTCTGTATAGCCTGTAGAGCACTAAGGGAATGAGACAACCACAAGTGTTGACACAGGCATATATGCAATACGAATAAGTGTTGCAAGAATGGCATACAATTCAGCAGTAAAAATGCTAGCTGAAGAGAGTAAATGACCTCGCACGACGCTGTCCAAAAACACTGCTGTGAATCCGATGCCATCAGAAGACTTAGAGCCATCTATGTACACTGTGATGGCATGAGAATGATTGGAAGTGGTCAAGAAAAAGAGAGCGGGAAGCTACCATAGGCAGTTGGGCTTTCGAGCAAGGGAGTGAGATAGAACAGACTCGAACAGCTGGAACTTCCCAGGGGGGTAGGGAAAAGTGAGATGCTACATGAACACAAAGGTGGTAACTGAAGGGAAGACAAGAGCGAATGTAGGCGGAGAGAGAAGGGATGGAGCAAACACAGGTGGCAAACAAATAATGTCTACTAATATCAGTGACCATTCTATATATGGAAGGATTGCAGAGATCATGAGAGCGTACATAGTAGTGAAGGCAATGGGCATCACAGTGATCAGACAAGGATGGAACATTCGCTTCTGCAAAGAGGCTCTCAACAGGGGAAGAGCGAAAAGCACCAAGGCATAAACGTAATCCTTGGTGATGGATGGGGTTAAGGCTAGAGAGAGTAGCAGGAGAGGCCGCTGAATAGATCTGGTCACCATAACAGTGTTTTGATAAAATGAGGGCTGAATGTAGGTGAAGGAGAGTTCGACGATCAGCTCCCCATGAAAGACGAGCAAGCGTTTTAAGAAGGTTCAGCTGGCTGTGACAAGTTGCCTTCAATGAGGTAATGTGAGGTTTCCAGGATAACCTACGGTCAAAGAGAAGGCCTAGAAACCTGACTGTATCACGTTCAGGGATATGGGAGCCATAGAGGTACAAAGGACGATCGGGGATAACAGAGCGTCTAGTGAAAGTAATTTGGCGAGTTTTGATACTGGAAAATTTAAACCCATGTGTGGTGGTCCAATTGGAAACACGGTTGACCGCATGCTGGAGAGTAATTGTAATGAGGTGACAGTCATCGCCTGCACAAGCAATAGCGAAGTCATCAACATAAAGTGATAGCCAAATATTGGATGGAAGAACAGAGGCCAAATCATTTATAGCAAGGAGAAAAAGTGTTGTGCTCAGAACACATCCCTGGGGGACACCTTCAGCTTAGATAAAGTCCGGGGAGAGCACATTATTAACCCGAACACGGAAATGTCTGTCAGTTAAAAAGTTCTTAAGGAAGGATGGTAGATTGCCTCGGAGGCCTGAGGAGTGGGCTTGGGCCAAAATATTATACCTCCAAGTTGTTTCATATGCCTTCTCAAGGTCAAAAAAATATGGCAATAACTGAGTGGTTATTCGTAAAGGCATTACGAACATACGTATCCAAGCGTAGTAAGGGGTCTATGGTAGAACGGCCCTTACGAAAGCCATATTGATGAGTGGA